CCCCCTTCCCAGTGGAGCTGTTAGTGCCATGTCTCTAGTGTACAGGACTATCTTCATCTTATTCCACCTTTCAAAAAATGAGATATTACATGAGACACTCACAATGCATCACTATCTTGCTTTTATCTTCAGCTCCCTTCCTCCAAACACCGCTCTTTTGCAGTAAAGAGTCTATGTAAAGCCATGAAGTAATTATAAAACTAATGGCACAGGTGAAATCAGAATAATTCAGTGAGATGCAGCAAGTCTGTACAGCTATAATGAGCACTGAATAGAATAAGCTGTTGATTTTTAGACAAGTTGCAAGAATACCGAGCCTAACATGAACTGCAAATATTTAAGTGTCACCAGAAAATTACTAATTTTGTTTGATAGTTGGGCTATATACTTAGATTTAGGAAGACCTCCTGTTATTTAAATATTATGTCTTCTTTTTAACTGGATAACTTGATAATCAAATTTAAGTAAGTAGAGAGATGTGAAGGTTTACTCATATTTAATGCAGTAACAATACTTTTACTAGGAATCAGGCTAGACAAAGGGAAGCACAGACTGATACATTTTCCAGCAGAAAACTAGGTAGCCATTGACACAGCAGCCTTCAAAAGAAATCCTAGTACTGACTGCTATTATGCTGTGAATACCAAGAAGGCTCTAATAGTTTAAAGAAAAGAGCATATAAATTTTCAGCTTAAAAGATGCTTATTAATTATACTAAACAGGCAACTTCTCACAACACTGCCAGTATTTTACATTCTTAAACACAGCCTGTTCCAGTGGCAGTGACTAGAAATCCCTATTTATCCAATACAGAACAGAATGAGCACAGAGTCAAATCCCTCCAAATACCTTCAGTGCCGGAGTGCTTCAATCATTACAGACCAGTCATGACAGGGACAAAGATGTAACTAGACAGTTTAGTTGCAGTGTCTAAGTCCTTAACCTCTCTTCTGAGACTTGACAACTGCAGGTTCAGTAAAGCCTAATCTTACGTCCCAAACGTTACTGAACTGCTGGACTGAAGCGCCTTAGCCTGATATCCCGTAAGAACTGGATATTCATGTCAGATATAAGAGGTTTTGCACGCCTACACTGCAATGAACAGATCTGACTATAGTTTACACAGACTTACCCGAAGGAGCACAAATGATCTTGCTTGGGAGTGGCAGCCACCTAACCACAGTAATGCAGGTTACACAAGCTGCATGGGTCTGTGGCTGAACACTAAATATTTCACTCACTGCGCTGCAGATGTACTGTTGGACTGAGCACATCTATTCGGGCTGAGCCCATACCTTTGGACTGCAGCTCCGATGTACCCAGGGGATTCACCTGAGCCAGTGACAGGTGATATCTTGGAAACAACACTGCTAGGCCTCAGGCCAGGTCTGAATCAGTACTATTAGGACTGGAGAGTATTGGCTATTCTGGTTTATTATTGTGCCCTTTGCAGAAAGAAAAAGTTACACAGTGACATATTGCATACATGCAGGTGCAAAATCATATACTGGGAAGAGGAAACAGCATTTCCAATTGGCAGCAACTTCCACGGTTTTGCGAAGAATTAATCCTGCGTTTGGCAGTACTGCTATTGGCCACTTGGGGAGCACTGCAACAGAGTGCTGAGTCATAAGTCCAGCCTAACCTGTAGCAAACCTCTAAAAACGTTGCTGAAATGTACCTCAGCCTAAGCCACGTCCGTTTTTCTGTGTCCCCTACTAAGCACCGCTCCTCTGATGGTGTGCATCTGCAAAGAATGCAGCAACATTTCAAACACCTAAAAGCCCAGGCAAGTTCTAAAATAAGTTATACTCTAACAAAAATTTCACTTGCTGACATTAAACAAATGATCTCTATTCCAGATGGGCACATTATGCTGAAATGACAGATCGGCCTCACTGGGTAGCCATCCTGTGAAAGGCACGAGGCACTGCCCTACAGCACAACTGTGGCACTGTAATTAACAGCTGTATCAAAAAGCACCTAGCAAAAGGGAGCAGCATTACACACCCTTGTCTAAATTTAAATTTAGTAGTTCCTAAAGTCAGAGCCTTAAATATTGTAATCTAACTAATTCTTGGCAGATTGTTGGATGTTATCTCCTAGATTAAAAAAAAAAAATATATATATATATATATAAACGGAAATGTTGTCATTTATAACAATAACACTCTTTTTCACCATTCATTACCAATAAAGTCAGAGTAATAAACCTTTAGTTCAGTGCTTTCTCACCTAGGCTGCAAGTCTGCAACAACCAAGAAATAGAGGAAGTCACTGGCAAGACAGTAAAGCTCCTATTTCAAATGGCATCAAAGACCAGGGCAAGGAAATGGGCACCTCCGGCCACATAATGGTGTCCTGCCTCCCACTATTCACAGCTGCATCTCAGCACAGCACATGCTGATACTATTTTGGTGCACGTGTGTTATGGTGTAGGAGATGCGAGGCGGGGAGGAAAGACAACCCCTGCTCATGTTCACATGCTGTGAAAAAAAATTCCTGCATGAAAAACTCCTTTGATATTTTTGCAAACAAGACACAAACAGTATTTTAAAACAGAGTGCCAAACGAATTTAGAAAATTCACTGTGAACCAAGGGGCTGCCAAAGCTTCTTAAAATAGGTCTTTCAACCCTTTACCAGTGAAGGCGCTGGCTAAGAGAGAGATGGCTGCGACCCCATAGTGACTGGGGCATGTTAAAGAACAAATCCTCATTTTTGTATCTTATTCCCCATATAATTTTGTAAACATCGTACCTCCCACTAGATTTTATATCTAAGAGCTATACAGAGCACTTTAACAGCATCAGAGCTAACTATTTTCTGCTTTTCCTACCTGTCTGCATTTTGACTAGGACCTTTATCCATTCCCAATGATTGAAAAACTTGGTTTACACTCCTCCTTCATTGACATTGCTGCCCTACATTAAGCACCAGATCTTTCAGCGCACACCAGCGAGGAAGCACAACTGTACCAGTTAGCAGTGCTACTGACCTCTGTCAGTTTGCATCTACTCATACAGTGCAAAGCAACACTCTGGAAATAAATGCAACTATTTACAAAGGTGAGAAGATGATTACTGCCATATTACCAGGCAATATGCCACCACAAAACCAGTAGGACAAGAAATGCTTAGAGCAGTGTTTACTTCATGAATACTTCAAATTGGCCTTTCCTGAATGAAGGACAGTGGTCAGCACTGCTTGTTAGAAAGGACTGTAAGAATTTATTGCCAAGGCATATGAATGCTATCCATAGCATTAAGTCTGTTTGAACATTAATATTTAAGCATACTTTTAAACTAAGCCATTTAATAGCTGCAGTGAGTCAAGTAACATTTTATGTTATAAGGAATATACGCTGCTGGCTAACGACCTGGCAACCAAAATCTATATGGTTAGTTGATATAACTTCAACAGTTACTGATTATTTAGCCCAGAATCCAAACTGAATGCCAGGCAGACTGACAAGTTATCTTTATTTCAACAAAAAACAGAGTTTGGCTGGGTTTATACCTGCCTGTGGTGAAGTAAAAGAAAAACCCACCAAACCCTGAATCACAATTATGTCTCATTAGTAAGTCAGTGCCAATTAAGGCCCCACTTTTTGCCCACCTGAGTTTGGATTTGCTTGCTTGTTGAAAGCAGTATTATTCAGAACAAGAGCTGATTTTCATCTAATCATACTTAACATAAAGAATGTTAAGACAGTAGTTTCCTTCTTAAGCACGTTTGATACTGCTGCCATAACAACATGCAAATACTTCAGCTTACAACAAAGATATATTCATTCGATCCAGTGTTCATTACCATGCTTTTTGATAAGCCCACTTTATATTATTACATCCGATATATATATATTGTGAAAAACAGGTAAAGACTTCGCCTACATTTTAAAGTGTAGATGAAAGCTTTTTAAAGAAGTATTATTTTTACCAGAAGCCAGTAAATAAATCACTATTTTTATAAAAAGCATATTTGCCAGATATTCAAATGAACCTATAAATCACCTCTGACTCCAGTAGCATAAATAAACTTGCAAAATGCTTATTTGTAATCCCAGAATATTGTGTTACAGTACTGCTGTCAGGCTACAAGTCAGGAATTTCAACGCTATCAAAAATCCAAACCCATTCACGATTTTTATTTAAAAAAAGGATGGATTTTCACACAAGCAGAGTATTCCCGACTAATTTCTCTAAATGACTTGTCGAATTATACTAACAACATGAAAAAGCCACGGAGCGCTGCCCAGCACCTGGCCAGGGGCCCTGTGTTTTCTGTCAGATCCGGGCCGAGCCGCCCGCACACACTCCGGGTGCCCCACGCCCCGGCTGCGTGACAGCGCGGGGAGGTCTCGCCTCCCCCCCGCCACAGGGCCGGGGGGCTCGCAGCCTGCCCCGGCATCAGCCCAAAAAGCCGCCCCCCCTTCTCCTGCCACCGCACCTCCGCGGAGGCCGAGGGCTGCTCCCGCCGTCTCGGGTATTTCCCCCCTCCCGGGCGGCCCCTCGGGGTGTGTGTGGGGGTGGGAAGGATCGGGCGCTGCCCGCAGCCCCCGGCGGGGGAAGGTCAGCGTGAGGAGAAAGGGGCTTTTCCAGGTCGGGCTGCCCCGCTACGGGCTGGAGAAAGCGGCGGCCGGGACACCCCCTCCCCCCCCCGCTCTCCCCTCAGGCCGCCCTCGGCCCTGCAGCAGCCGCCCGCGGCGCGGGTGGGGGCGGGAGGCGCAGCCGCGGCGGGGGGCAGGCCCGGCGGGGACCCCCGCGCCCCGCTGCGGCCCCGGGGGGCTGAAACGAACAACGGGCACCTCCTCACCCCGCGGCAGGCGGGAGAGGCCCGGCAGGGCGTGGGGGCGGCGGCGGCGCTGAAGGACATTTTAGCGGCTGGTGCCCAGCCCCGGCCCCCGGAAAATGGCTGCCGCTGGAGCGGGGCCGGAGAGCGGCCGCGCCGCCGGCCCAGCACGGGGAGGCAGCGGTGGGGATGGCGGTGGCCGCCTCGTACCTTTGAATTTGAGCTCGTGCTGCGGTTCGAGGCTGAGGACCTGCTCCGCTTTCGCCATGTTCCTCCTCCTCGGCAGCAGTGGCGGCACCAGGCGGAGAGAGGAAGGGACGGGGAGGGAGGGGAAGGGGAGAGGGAGGGGAGGAGGGAAGGCAGGCGGGCGGGCGGGGGACGGACACGCCCGACCGGTTTATTCACCCCCCGGAGCGTCTAAGGGAGAGGCGCTGCGGGCGGCGGAGCAGGGCCGGGCCGGGCGGGCGGCGGCTCGGGGGTTTCGCAGCGCGCACGCTGCCCGGGCAGGGACGCGGGGAGAGGGCGGGAGGCGGGAACGGGGGCGGGATGATGCAGCACGGAGGGGCCCGGGAGAGGCGGTGGCTGACGTCTGCCGCCCGCCCCCCGCCGCGGCTGAGGGGGCCGGCCCGGGCCCGCCGCCCGACTGCTTCTGGCGCAGGCGGGCTCCTCACCTCTTCTGGGCGCTCCTCGGGCTCGGGCCGCCTCCCCACACCGGTAACCTGATGGGTGAGGAAGAGGTCTAATTAATATTCATGAAGTCTAATCATCATTGAAAATCATGATTGATAATAAATGCCGTTTTATCCGGGAGCTGCCTGTTATTTTAGGCCGTGACTCGGTCTGTGTCGCCGCAGGGCTGCCCGGGGAAGGGAACGGCAGCCCCTGAGGCGGGCACAGCTGCCCGGGACCTTCCGGCGGGAAACGGGGGGGGACCCACAGCCAGGGCTGGGCGGGGTGGCCGGGGCCTCAGGCTTCCCGGTGTAGAACGACAGCCTGGGGCCACGGTGGTGTGATTGCAAGGCTGAAAAACGGCCACCACAGGACCAGGAAATCCTGGTAACTGGCATCAAGCCACAGGAAATACTTACTTTTTAATAAATAAGAGTTTCAGGCCATTTTAGTGATTTTAAGATACCCAATACCTCCCCCCCTTCTTAAGTAAACTGTAATTAAAGTTTTGGTGTGTTATGTTGGGGTTGGTTGGGGGCAGTTCTGTATTGTGTATGGTTTCTCAGTTTTTGTTCCTTGTTTTGGTGTGTTTTTTTTTTTTGTCTAAATATCACGATTTTTTTTTTTTTTTTAAATTTCGAGGTTAGTCTTAACATAAAAGACTTTATCGATAGCCTTAGGCCAGTGTAGTTACAATAGCAGTATCCTCCCCAGTTGTTTTAAACATTCTCAGTTGTTCTTAAATTATAAACCATTGCTGTAACCAAAGTCAGCAGTAGGTAATAATGAAGCAGGAGTTTAGGATGACCATGTTACCAGCAGAAAGGTGCTGGTCTTAAAAGCTGGTAATTTATATACAGCAGAAAGTACTCATTAAGCAACTGGACTTTAGGCATACAGGACTTCAGGAGGAGATGCCCTTTGCAGAGATTAAAACCAAGTGTTTAAAAACAATCAGCTTCCAAAGAACAGCAACTGAAAGTATTGAGTTATGTTGAGTAAGTCCAAATCAGGGCTGATTAGCAAGGAGGTAAGAGGTGAGTAAAAATACGGTAAAACATTGTGAAAATTCATTTCATCACACCAGTACCATCTGTGTGATACCGTGTGCCTCACACAAGTTCCTTATCCCATTGTTTTACATTGTAGTTGCCCAAAATGGATAAGATATCTAAAAAGATCTGGAATTCCTAAGAAGGTTCCTCTAGTTTCTGGCAGTAAAAGCAATGGCAAATGACTGATGTATATGTTAAAATTAACACCACTAAACAGGATGATGACATTCAATGCTCTACGCACATCTGTAGTATTTATACATCTCAACACTTCAGCTGCTCTTGTCCATGATAATCCATTTTCCAGCTTGTCTGCTTAACCACCTCCCATCCTGCTTTGGCTTTTGTTTTTGTTCTGAGATGTCTTTCATTCCATGCCAAAACAAAACAAACCCATGTACATATTTAATATAACTCTTCGCTTTGCATAATACAAGTGAAACCTGCTAACTCCTTCTAGCCATTACATCAGGAATAATTTTTAAAAGCTTCAGCAATGTACAGCAACACACTCAAATAACGTACTGCTGTTTTTCCTTAAATTCCTTCTCTCTTAGAGAAAAGATGGTCACATAAGGTTATCAAGGAGTGTATTTTCTTTTCCAGGTCCCTGCTATTCTACTTTACGTAGTTAATTAGATTTGGAGCCTAGAATGTTCTTGGCTGACTATTTCTGCTAGTTGTGAGGATTTAATTTATAGCATAAACTATGGATTATGTCATAACATTTTACTAGATCTCCATATCAGAAGAGCGTTGAGTTTACTTACGCTTTGGAGCGCTGTTTTCTTTGGCTTGTATTCTGGAAAGGTTATCTTCTTTCACTTAATCTCTTAGGTTTTATTTTTATAAACAGACTCTCTCAATGAGCTAGGCATTCTCAGTCAAGTAATTAGTAGAAAAGACAAGCTTTATACATACCTGCGAGTTAATTGGAAACTAATGGTGAGGAATAAGACAGAGGAAACTTTATACAATATATAGTCATACATAATAAAAAACCCTAAAGTAAACAACTGTTCAGTGTTGCTGCCCAGAGCTTTCCAAGTTCTACTTTTCCTGAAAGAAGTACAAAGAACACCCTTAAGCATTTGATGATCCACATCTTAAAAGGGTTTGCCAAGTTGTATCATCTTACCACAACTGGCAGCTCTGAACTTACCTGTTTGTATTTGAAGGGCTCACCCACGTTTTCATCCAGGCTGAAGTTTTTAAAGCAGAGCATTGCTTAAGTTGAAAATTTATGAAGTGTCATTAATGTAGGTTGTCACGTTTTTGCTATATGTAAATAATGTGTACCTTCAATATTGTGCATATCAGATTAATTGAAATGGCCATGCATGAAGGCCACCTGCAATATTACGTCTTTATCAATTACATAAAAAAACCTCACTTTATTAACAATTCAGTCACAACTAGACTAGAATGCAACCTGTGGCCAAGCTGAGTTCTTGATAACAGGAGAAAACAGGGATGAACACTACAGGGCAACTCTGAAGAACACCTGAAGGCTTTGTACTGGAGCAATTTTGAAGAACAGTTTAAGCTGTTATAACACTTTTACCATAAAAGTTATGAAAGACTTGATCCAACTAAAACACCATCTCATATTGTGTGTGTGTAAATTAGGTGGTTTAGTTATCTAGATTCCCTATGCAAACACATGTAAAATGTGTTTTTATCTCTATTCTAGCATGCTCCTTGTGTTTACCCTTTTTATGCTCACTCCAAGGCACATTCATACAAGCATATGTGACACTCCTCAAAAGCAGTTTTCACACATTTAAAAGGATAAGTTATAAATAGCAGGTACTGAACAATAAATTTAAGTTATTCCAGGTCTCTGTTATCTTCTTAACAGTATGTCTTTCCTGCATATGAACTGCAGCCAGTTGCTTAGTAGCAACTTTTATCCAACATTTTCAGGTAAAATAGCTGTATCAGAAACAGAACTTTTTTGCTTATTTACAGTTTTGAAGGCTGCTATTAACTGAACATGTTAGACTTGCATCACACATTGAAGCAAGAAAACTACATCTTTTAAGCATCACATAAGACAAGTGAGACGACTGTAGCCAACCCCCTATTTTTGTGCTCTACATAACCACCAAAGCAGTGGTTTAAAAAAAGCAAGTTACCAACCAGCTGTTAATTCTTAATAATTAAGAAAGGATCTCTTCCCAGCATGACAGGCCCCCACAATGCTATGCAGATGTTAAAAGCACTTTACAGTTTTGATTGACAGAAACCTGGCCTAAGCAGTCAAGAATTTTACATTTCATGCAGTCTGAGCTAAAAGCAATGTATTAAATAACTTGATCCTGGTAGAATTTGTCAGGCCTTGCACTGGTTGACAAGACTGTGTGTGGCCTGCAGTTTCTCAGACATCATGCTGCAAAGAAAGGAAGCATTACACAAAAGCTGCATTCTCTCTGCTGTTTTTCCTCATCCCTTCTTTGTACAAGTTCGTCTTCTGCCTTTGTCTGTGTATACATAAAGCAGGGAAAAGCTTCAGTTTCTGAATGACTGGTAGTCAGTACATTTGGAAAACAGCTATTTGAATCTTCCCTGAGAGTCACTTCTGCTATGTTATTGCTTACATTCCTCTTCTATAATTCTCTTTCTATAGAGACTATTTTTGAAGATGTTGAGAATTGTGGAAGCATTTATAAACAAGCCAGCACATTTATAAACAAAGCTTTTTATTAATAAAATGTTTACACCTTTTTTTTTTTTTTTTGCACAATACATCAGACTGGTAGTGATTTAGCATGTTATTACACTATAAAAGTTTATTATGAATGCTTAGGCTGAAAAGGCTGTTTACATTATGCCAAATCAACATTTCTTTATTTGCATTCTATGCACTATATGGGAGTGTAACAATTCAAACAAAAAGGAGAGAACAAAAGCCTGGTTTTCCTCATTAGCATCTACAAACCAACAATACAGACGAACCTGTACACACTCTCAGGACCAGCCCAAGAGAAGACTAAAAAAAGTCTCAAAACATTCATAAGCTTGGGAATTCATCACTACAATATTTCATCACTAGTAATCTGACTACATTTCATGCAGTGAAGCGATGGTTGTAAATTTGTGCAGTTTACAGTGCTGCAAATGCTCTGTAACTTTGAGCGGCTTAAGTTTCTTTTAATAAGAGATACTGTAATAAGAAGGCACAGACCTTTCAACCTTTGTTACAGGTTAACCCAATCCTTTAATGAAAAGGCAGAATGTTCTTAAGAGGGACAAGAATTGATACAAAGGTTAACCTCCACGCTTAATTTTACAGGCAAACATTTATTACACTGCAAGAGCTATATGCATATCAGGTTATTTTTGTGCCCTGAATACACAAATGGAAAAGTTTCCTATTTAGAAGAAACCTTCAGAATGATTTATTTTTCTCTTCATTGTACTGGGGATGGGGGATACAAGGGGGAAGACTGCCAGGAAGTCTTAGGTGTCTAACAGCTACAGAAACACCGTGTCTTAAATCAATTCACTGTGTCACAATCTCAATGTTGGATACACAATATTCAGAAACAGGAAGTACAAAAAGAAGAAGTTAAAATATAGAAGAGTTTACGCCATGTTACTAGAGCCTTATAATAATTTGCTCCCCCCAGGTGAATGTGCTTTTAGCCTTTGTTATGTGGTATAATACAGTAGCAGTACATGTCTCAGCTCCTATGTTTTCATAACAGTTTCATAAGGCTGTACTAATGAATTACCATTTTGTTTACAAACATTTGCCACTGTGACAGATACTTCTAGAACCTTTGAGGAGAAAAACACACTCACCACCTGT